AGTTCCTATAAAGTAAAGCAAGAATACTGAGAAATAAAAACGTCAAGGCTTACAAAGCAAGGAGAAGTTATGTAAGTTAAAATGATAGATGGTCCTCTTGAGTTGCGTTTTTTCATCTTCCTCGACCATATGTAGGCTACATATGTAACTATAATGCTAACTGAGATAGCACAAATCACATACCAGAATATGTTCCAATACTCAGTCTGTATTTGCTTCTCTCGCTGGCAACACCGAAAAAGTCGTACCCGGCATACGCTGTCTTTCCATTGATATCTTCGAGGTCCACATGAATTCTGCATCGTTCTTTTGTCAGCCGGTGAATCTTGTCCAGTCCGAGCCAAAACTCACCGTTTAAATTTCCAAAGCCTCGTATGTAGTCGTCCCAACCAAGGTAGAAATCAAACGAGCCATCCAGTCTCTTTTGGAACACTGTCCACACTCCACCGGCTGTCTTTTGGTCGCAAAAGACATCAAAGGCACCGGCGTCGTCAGGATCGATAGTGTAAACACCACTGATTCGTTTTCCAGCTTTGTAGAGTTCAGCACAGCTCTTAAAGACTGAAGACGAAAGGAGAAGAAATATTAATAACAACGATCCTGAGAAAAAAAAGATTTTTCATATCTTTTTCCTTTTTTTTAATAGGGATCCATGAAAGGCGATTTCGATTTACACTCAGAAAGCTTTATCATAACCCTTGTTTGAAATAGGATTTACCAACAGTGACAGAGCCTATGCAATTTACTCTCTTACTTTGCTTATTCAGTAAAATTTGCAATTTATTCCTTCTTGGAAAGGAAATGTGTGAAACTTATTTAAACCGCTTTAAAGGTACGGCCGCGGTCAGGCCGCGGTCAGCAACTAACCTTTCCCACTAATATTTTTTCCCTTTAGGGATCTTATCTCCTCTCGTATCTCACTGAGCTCGTTCTTGACTTCGTGAAGTAATGTTTCGATCTTCTTGTTCGGTCCAGCGTAAAAATTGTTAGAAGTATACACGTTGTGACATTTGTCCTTTGAAGTAACAGTCTGGGATGAGTTTGGCCCCTTTGCTTTTGACGAAGTGGAGTTGCTGACGAAAGATATCAAAGATAAAATCAAAATCAATCTCCAGTTAGATCTGGCGCAGGCCATTATCTTTGCTCCGTATCTTTACATGTAAGAGTCTGTTCAGCTAAAAATGAACGTCTCTTCCCACCAAACTTGCTTGTACAGAATAATATGCAAACTCACTGCTTTTATGTGATGTTTTTGTCACATGCAAATATTTCCAACGGGTTTTTTCGTGAGGCTATTCACATACAGCATATACACTAAAGTGATCAACACAGGCTATTTAATAACTTTTGTTCTTTCTTTGAATACTCTGCTTCAATAATCCGTTCTTCTTAATGTCCTTGAATGATATTCTCTGATTTCGTTCGCAACAGGCATAGAGAAAGGTCCTGATTTAACACTTTTTTCTCAGTTCAGACCGAAAGTATTGAAAAGCAAAAAGTAAAGCCCTGATCATGGTTACAACTTTCTTGTTAAGAGTTCACTATAGATTTGAAATTCGTTCTCTAGAGGATTTTAACACTTTTTCTGGACGAGCTGGTGAAATTTCCGGCCGGAGTCGGACTGCTTGCTAAAGCTTAACCGAACAAAACTAAGAAAGATAGTTTACACAATAATTGTTTTCGTCAGACCAGTGCTCGAAAAGCTTTTTCTTAGCAACCAAAAATCAAATGGGGAAATCATAAGCTGACCAACAGAATAAACTCTTGGCTTCCGATATTCCATCCCAAAAAAATTTGGAGTTTCAGCTCTTTTCATTAGTATCGAGGAGGCTGGGCACTGTAGTTATGAAGAATTGAATATCGTTCGACTGATCAGTTGAATTTGTTTTTCAGATGCGTGATTGAATGTAAATAACTCGTTTTTACAATCAGTTAAATCAACCGTAAACACCAACAAAGACCCTCTTTTAAAAAAAGTGACAACTCTTTTGATGTAAATTGCCAACATGGGAATCAATTTTTGTACCTAAAAAACCAAGCACGACGAGCGGCCAGGTTTATCTTCCCAGCCGAGGAAGAAATATTCATCCGTGGTATGATCATGCACCCGACATTTGCCTGTCACGATGCATGGCCTTAAGTAAACGTTTAGGTGAGAACAAAGACTCTATATTAAGTCAAACTTGGGTATTTAAGTTGAATATATCAACAAAGTTGAAATGGTAAATTGGCCACCGTTACGATTATAAAAGCTGACGTTTCGAGCGTTAGCCCTTCGTCGGAGCGAATTTACCATTTCAACTTTTTTCTTTCAAATTATTCAAATTATTTCTTTACCCCCACTGACGCAGCTCCAAACAGTTTCTTTAGAAACTATCAGCCTTTAATCATTGGGTATTTAAGCTCGACTGCTTTCGTGCCACTATACAATTACGGACGCTTTATTTACCTTGGCGCTCGTTAACGATGTATTTTACAATTTCTGTCAGAATTTGTATACTTCACAAGTTTATAACTTTCGCTGAATAAACTCTTTTTAAACAGCCAGGCTCCTGGCTGCGCCTCATCCCAACACATTCAATTTTTGAAGCTAGGTTTATCCTATAAAAATATTCTTCAAACGGATTTTTCTTTCAGACCTTTCACAAGCATTGATAACCATCGCACACAACTTTGTTACAGAGACAACTGAAGAACCTTTTTCACGTTCTGAATGACTTAACGATAGGCAGTTATCATTTTCTTTGTTTATGGAATTAGACGATCTTGTTCAGTGCGAGCCGATAAGACTTAGTTATCAATGATATTATGTAGTTTGAGCACTTCGTTTTCTTTATCCGCCGAACTGATTCTATCAGCTGAAAGTGAAACTGTAAAGACTTTGTAGTCTATAGTTTGAGCTATTTTTAGTTTGAGCGAGGGACGTCTGGTTGATGAGATCTGAAAATGCGCGATTGTTAAAAAATGTAATCAAGCCGCAAGATCACCGAAAAAAAATATTAAGATTCAGTTGTGACCTCTACGTCTCTTTCTACCTCTTAAATTGCAAACCAACCTCAGTTCCCTAAAAAAGGTGCAACGGAAACCAGCATAGGCAGGGGTCGCACTGTGGCCCTCTTTTTTTTTATGTCGCGTCATAAGTTGTCCTACAAATATGTCGCGACATTTACACCACGAGAGTCATGGAGGTCGCACTTGTACGACATAAAGGATATTTGAAACCAGACTGTCAACTCTTAATATTTCACGCGCGAAAAGAGCACCAAATAAAACTTTGTAGACATGAAGCTGGCGCTAGTTTTATTAGCGACATTTCTTCATTCTCTGTTTAATTTGTTCAATGTACAAAACCTTATTGATTTGTACGCATTGTACAACACTCGCCAACGGCAAATGTTGGCTCTTGCCGCATTAAACCGACGTCGACGGATGCGAAAAAATGGGAAAATATCTGCGAGCCAAAGGGTGAAAACAAGCCATTCCCATACTGAAAATAATCAGGTGAATAGTGCAAATTTGTAAATTGGTATGGGTTGAAATTCGCCATAGGGACCAGATAAAACGTGTGTCGAGAAAACCTGTGACTAAAATATTAAACCGATAGCGAGCTGTGCACACGTGTTGTCTTTGCAGAATTGCGAAAATCCAAATTTTTGCTAGTATTTCAGATTTGATCGACGTTGCGACAGAAGAAAAGCAAAAATTGTTATTTTAAGGCGATAAGACGAGATATAGCCTGCCTCGAGGCAGGACATCGGCTTTTTTGATCTTTAGGTCCTTCGGACATAGTATGTCTGGTTGTGACAAAAGGGTCGCACTTGTCACAAGCACTCGATGACAGATTTTATGTCCAATATAAACACCAAAAGCGTAAGTGCGACCCCTACCATAGCCGCCTTGCTCATCATCAGATTAGACATAAGTCGTTGACAGCAATGAAAGAAACTGATGCACATCACTAAAATAATAAACAATAGGCCGAAGGATGTTGTCTTAAGACATTGTCAAATTTTAAAGGAAAAATGTCATAACGTTGGGTTTAAGTATGATAATTTGGTGGTAGGATGTGGTATTACCAGCGGTCAGATTTGTCACACAAGAGCGGAACATGTGATTAATCAAGAAGGGAGTTACTATATCACGGGCGACGAGCGGGGCAAGAAATGTAGTCCGAGATATGAGTGGTCAGCGGTGAAATAGCTTTAATACATCATGTAGAGACAAATCATTTGTAGTTGTTGCATTAAATAATCGTGGTATCAATCCCGAAATGTTAACAATAAATTTTGCTAAATAACAAATTAAGCAATTTTTCAAAAGCTTCGACTATAAATATATTTTTCACTGCTCTAATAAACAACGAAGGTATCGGGAGAGGTATCAAAAAATTATATTTTTGTTTGGTAACTTGCTACGCGACGTAAAGAAAGTATCGTGAACGACTTCCGGTAGTCCAAGGCGTTAATCACAGCTGGCGCGCTTTTCACTTGATTTTTGCAATCTCTACTATTTTTCCGGGAAAAGAAAAGCTAGGGAACTCTACAAAAATTTAGTTCTCGATCTGAATAGTTTTTTAGTCTTTTTATAAGTTTGTATCTACAGGCTAAGATGGAAAACTTTCATAACAAAAATTCAAGTAGCTGAAGTTCTCTTACTTCATATTATATATAAACAATCGCCTCTATTCCAGGTTAAAATATCCTAGGAGGAAAACTCAGAGCTTCAAGAAACACCCAAAGTAAGGCTAATGTGTTTACCATCCCTCAAATGTTTCGATAAAGGTCGCTCGATTTAGGAGACCTTTTCTCAAAACAACCATATGATAAATAATTATGTTTTCCGTTCAAACTTTTTCTTTCTATTCACTTTAACAGAAGCACTCAGGATGAAAACTAAACGTCGAATCGAACAAAAATAAAACATCTTGAACTCTGAGATGTTCTTCATATTGTTGGCTCCATCACGTTACGATTTTGGATCCGTGACGTTCCTGAATATATATTTTAATCGATTACCAAGAACTGTATTCGCAATCCTGGTAGATTAAGGTCTAGACATGACATTAAAGTCCACTTGATCCGAAAAGAAGCCACCCTAACGGCAGGTGAAATGTTGTGTAAGCGTCTCTGCGAAAGGCACATTCAGACAACTTGCGTGGAAAAACTGGCCACAGCTATCACACCCAAGCCAATCCTCTCCATCGTCGTCTTTACAAATCTTACAGACTGCGGTGTTTCTCCTGTAATTGAACAAAAAGATACAGTTAGTTGATGAGAGTTTTGCGGCATTTGAGAAACAATACTGTTTGATACCATCAAAGCTTACTCATCAAGGTCATCGTAACAGGAGCCAAATATGACAGACGTTATTCTCTCTCTTTCCATTTGCACGTTGTAACTTCCATTGACATCTAACCCCTCACACAAACACCGAGCAAACTGAGAACAAACAAACAAAACATTTTATTACATTCGAAACTAGGATGTAGAGTCATATCAAAGCAGGTTTTAGCAAGTGGTTATGCTACTCACAAGACATACAATCACACCACAGTTATAACTATCAGTCTGTGTGTAATGTAGTGGCTCAACACACGGCCATGACTTGCAGTTCCATCCCGTTTTGAGATCAGCAACGGCACTGCAGAGTCAAACAAAGTACAACAATTACATAACTATGACTTATCTGCGTGCACCTAATTAAAAGGAAAACACCGGGTAGAA